AGACACACACACAATAACACACCCACACACACACACAGTAACACACAGACACACACACAGACTCACACCTGGGGGGGGTGGGTGTGTACAGCTGGTTGGAGCTCTTCTTCTTTGGTCTTGGGACTTAAACCAGGTCAGGAAACCAGAGAAGAAGACGAGTCTCTTCTTACATCACATGACTTCTCCTTTTCTTCTCTCCTCCTTCCTTTGTTCTTCGGCCCCCTCCTCCCCTCAAGCTTCCTCCCCCTCCCTCCTCCTCCTCCTCTCCTATTCCTCACCTCTTCTCCTCCTCTAATCCTCCTCCTCATCTCCTCTTCCTCATCTCCTCTTCCTCCTCTTCTCCCTCCTTCTTTCTTCCTCACCCTTGTCTCCTCCTCATCTACTATTCCTCCTCTCTTCTTCCTCTCCTCCTCTTCTCCTCCTCTAATCCTCCTCCTCTCCTCTTCCTCTGATCCTCCTCTTCCTCTCCTCTTCTCCTCCTTTAATCCTCCTGTCCTCTTCCTCTCCTCCTCCTCCTCCCAATTCTCCTCTTCCTCTAATCGTCCTCCTCTTTTCCTCCTGTTATCCTCCTCTAATCCTCCTCTTCGTCTCCTCTTCTCGTCTTTTCCTCTTCCTCCTCCTCTTTATCCTCCTCCTCTTCCTCCTCATCCTCCTCCTCTCTCCTCCTCTCTCCTCGTTTCCTCCTCGTCCTCCTCCTCGTCCTCCTCCTTCTCCTCTTCCTCATCTCCTCCTCCTCCTCCTCCTCCTCCTCCTCATCCTCCTCCTCCTCCCCATATAACCAAAGACAACTAGGAGCTCTGTTAATCTGATCAAAGCTAATCTAAAGCTAAAGGAAGCTAATGGTTAAAAAAGCCTGTTAGCGGCTAACGGGAGCTAGCATGCTCAGTCAGAACAAAAACAGATGATTTTATCTGAAATTTTTATCTGAAAAACCAGAGACTGCTGGTTCAGGTGTAGTTAGCTTTGCAGTTAGCTTAGTTTAGCCACTGTTGGCTACTTTATGTTGTTTGCTGTTAGCTACTGTTAGCAGTTAGCTACCCTTTTCAGTTACGTGCTGTTGGCTACTGCTTGTAGTCAGCTAGAGTTAACTGTTAGCTGTTGACTACTGTTAGCAGTTTGCTCCTGTTTTCAGTCCTGTAGCAGTCAGCTAGAGTTAACTGTTAGCTGTTGGCTAATGTTAGCAGTCAGCTACTTTTAGCTACTGTTAGTTACTGTTTGCTGTCAGCTACTTTTAACTACTGTTAGCTGGTAGCTACTGTTTGCATCAGCTACTTATAGCTACTGTTAGCTGATCGTTACTGTTTGCGGTCAGCTACTTTTAGCTAATATTAGCTGGTAGTTACTGTTTACAGTTAGCTACTTTTAGCTACTGTTTACGGTCAGCTACTTTTAGCTACTGTTAGGTGGTAGCTACTCGTTGCTGTCAGATACTTATAGCTCCTGTTAGCTGATCGTTAATGTTTACGGTCAGCTACTTTTAGCTATTGTTAGCTGGTAGCTACTGTTTGCAGTCAGCTATTTCTAGCTGATGTTCACTGTTAGCTACTGTTTGCTGCCAGCTGCTGGTAGCTACTGTTTGCAGTCAGGTACTTTTAGCTACTGTTAGCTGGTTCCATCTCAAAGCTGCTGTGAGTTTCCTGCTTTGCTTCAGACGCTTTTGGGTGGAACTGATTTCTGTGGTGGGCAGACGGTGTTAAAGGCCAAAGCAGGAACCTGCTGAAACCCGAGAGGCTGGGGGGGGTTAGACCTCCTCCAGATGTGGCCCCTCCCTCTCTAAAAGCCCCCCTTGGTGTGGGAGGCTCAAGTCTGGTTCCACAGACAGGCTGTGGTGGACCTGGTCCTAGATGTGGTCCTGTTTCCTGGTTCTGAACTGGACTGATGTGGTCCTGG